TAGAAAATATTTTTAAATTAGTCCCAACTGGAATTTCTCAGATTTTTCTGATGAACGCACCATTAAAGGTAATTTTTTTTTCCAACAGGAATAGATTTACATCCTAGGCTATGCAGTAAGATAAATAATCTTGAATTAGGAACTCTAGCTGAATTGCTGAGGAAAAGCTAAATTGGGGTGCTTGAGGAAAAGCTGAATTTCATTTTAGAGCTGATCCACTGTAAAAACTAAAACCTGAAAATCTGTCCTAGAAGCATTAAAAAATGCAAATACAAAGCGACCAGTAGGAAAAAGTGGTTATATGTATTGCAGATTGTCTGGAAGAACGTTTAGATGCAAATGCAAACGTATACATATGAATGTATATCAGCAATTAGGTTGCAAATATATTAGCAGTTGGCTTAGATGCGTTGCTTTCAGGAATAGCTATCAGCTGTTATAAATTCTGTTCACAGTTTTTCTTTGGCATTTGTGATTTAGATCCGTCTCATTTGTACCTCTCTTCTGAATGCAGTTCTGAAAACTAGAACACTCTTTTATCGTGTTGGTATTACGAGGCTCTTGCTCCAGAGTCCTTTAGAGCACAAAGAAATGTTGCTTAATGGAATTCTTACAGTAATGTCAAATTTGTACAAATCTCTTAAGATTTGCTGTTATGAATTCTTGCGCAATGTAATGAACAACAGCTTTAAAGTGGTTTTAGACAATAAGACCAAGTTTTTATTGGATTTAAAGTGGAAACACAGCATGGTTAATAAAGTATTGCCAAAAATATTGAGGTTTTAATTTTGTCCAACTATATAAAAGCTTCAAAATACATATTTTTTGTGTATTTATAGATAGGCTGTCAGAGCTGTTCATCTTCCTGGTGGATAAAGGGAGGAGTCACTATTCCATTCCTGCCCAAAGCATGGCATTGAGGTGGAACCAGTTGTAACACTGGGCAGTCAGAGTGGTGGCAGAACCTGCTCTGCCTGATGAGGTGGTGATTTGGTGAAGGATCTTGGTTTTAAACATGCTGTCGTGTACCACTGGGGGTGCAGTTAAACTGCATGGAAAAGTTTAGAATGAACCTGGAAGCTTTCACTCAGCTGATGGGCTGACTGGGACTCCTGATCACTAGTTCTTAAGACGATGCTCCCTCACCCTTTTGCTGGTGGTATTGGTGTTGGATGGATGTACAGCAGAAATGAGATAGCTAACATGGGATACTGCTTTACTGTTTGGCTTCACGTTTCACACCGTGTTTTTACAGTGAAAGTATTGCTGCTCCTCTTTCCCACTGCCACCTCAGTAGAATTTTGTTTAGAATGAAATTGTCACTTGCTGTGATTGAAAGCTGAATTTTCGATATTTGGTGCTTTAAAAAACCCTTAACTGTTAAATTGAGACACGCATCAGAATTGGAATCTTCTCTTAAAAATGTAGTGTCACATCTTTAGGCCATCTTCAGGATTGCCCAACCGCTATGAAAAACTTGAGAATCAGAAACCAAGCAGGTGAACTAGATTGGGCAGAAGAACACAGGAGAAGGAAGAGTTGTGCAGGAAGCATCAGCAGAATGTAAACAGCTTTGATGTTGCACCCAAAATAACTCAATCTTTTTCACTGGACTGGAAGTTGTGATGAACTGTAGGTGGTGAAACGGAGACAGTATCTTGTTTAAGGGATTCTTTGGTGACAAAAAGTGAGGACTCCATTCTTGTAAATAAATAGGAGTGATGGACTCTGACACTTTCTTGCCTTATTATGGCCATAAACTATGGGATGCCAGATTTTTGCCTGGCCACTTGGCCATGATGCAGTTCTGGGAGTTTGGAGTTGCTTATTTCCATTATAAGATAAAATGATGACTCTTACTATTCTGGAAGCTAACTATTGACATTTATAACCAACCCTGGCATTTGCTTGGCTGGAGTTACAAAACTACAGGGAAAGGATATTGAGTGGTTTTAGGGCTGAAGTGCATTATTCTCTGTAAGTTTTTGCCAAGTTGTTGCCAGGGAATCTAAAAAATTTTGCACATTTTTCCCCGCCCCAAAAGCCTGTAAAAATTAGGCCATTGCTTCTGTTCACATCTGTTTACAAAAGGGTATTTTTGGGTTTTTTTGATAGATAAGGAGAGACATGATTCAATAATACCTGGGATCACGTCTTCCACTTGGGTAGTCCTTCTAATTAATTTATGACTTGCTGTGGGTTTTTCTACGTGTAGTCTCTGCAGTGATTAATCAGAATTTTGAAACTGGCAGCCCATAGCAGCATTACAAAAGACAAAGCCAAACCTAAAAATTGTAAGCAATTAACTTATTCTACCTGCCTGAGAGTGGTTTGGAGAGAGAAGTACTCCTCAGCTCTGAGAAGTATCAGATGTGCTTGAAATTATCATAACTGAATGTAGCTTCTGATTTTCCTGATCCAGCGAGCATTCTGGGGAAGGTACCGTTCCCTGTCACAGTGATGGCCAGTGCTAGACTTTACCCTGTTTTGCATTTAAATTGGATAAAAATGAGTACTGAGCCCTGTCTCTGCTAAGGAACTCCACATTGCTACGTTTTTTACTGTAACTACGATGTTGGTGCAGAATAATGTTTCATCGATTCCTGCTAAACTTGGGGGAAAAAATGAAGAGACTGGAGAGAATATGGAAAGTTTGAGTGAGGATCCTTCTTGCTCCTCTTTCTCCCTGAGCCTTTGTTTTGCCTCCTGTGCTGCCACATACAGAAAAAAAGCACAGGATTTTCTTGATTTAATGTAGGCTTCCATGTGCACTTTTAGCCCAGGTGTCCTGATTTAGTGGCTGAGAGGATGGAGGGTCGTGGGGAACTGCTGGTTCCTTGCCCTCAAAGCAGAGAAAAAATTCTCAGCCTTGAAAGGATGATGAGCTACTTCTGCTCCTCAGAAGAGTGGTAGCGTACGTGAGAAGAGATGTTGGAGGGATTGCAGCTGGAATGGAATCAATAAGGGATTAATATTAACTGTAACCAAAGAATTACATTAGCAGCAGTGTGCTGTGGGTGACACAACTACAGAGTGCAACTAACAACAAAAACCTGGTTGAACAACAGTTTGGGAGAAGACAGAAATTTTCTTACTGGCCCGTTGGAAAAGGAGACCTACGCTTGGTTAAACTGCATTAAGTGAAGTGATTAAAATCCAGCACGTTTGTGGGCATAATATTAAGGAATATTTACTTTACAAGAAACAGTTCTTGGATTCAAACAATGCAGTTAATTGTAAGTGGTGCTTTGCAGGTATTGCTCTAAAGAGCATATATTACCATAAATTACCATTGGCCATAAATTAGCTGGTTTTACAGTTGGGATTCCTCTGGTACCAGATGAATTTGTTGAAACTGTAAAAGAGAACAAAAATGGAAAGTGCTAAAGCTGTTTGTGGTGTTTCTGGAATATTAAAGTACTTGAATGTGTGAGGAATGAGGGAGGGGAAAAGGAGATGCCTGTAGGAGAAACAAAGGATGCAAAGTTGGAGGTGAGGGAACTATAAAATGCAGCATATAGAAAGATACGAGGATGTAGTGATTTTTATTTTTTTTTTAATTCTATGTGAAATTTGCCAGGGAGAGAACATAAATGATAATTACTTTGAAGTCTCCAACAGTGATGGGAAGAGTTCACAAAAGGAGAATTGCAAAAGGGAACGTAAAGTGAGGTATTTTTGCGTTATTTTTGGAGTAGTACTTTCATGGATAAATAAATTTAAAAAAAATCTGTGATTTACTGCTTGAGAACGCCATAAATGTTTTCATGTTGTTGTTTATGTCTCAGCCCAGTACTGTTTGGAGCATAAAGGAATGTAAAGTGAAAAATGAGTGCACAGGATTGACAGCAGTGACATAAATGAGAGCTCTGGCAGCCGGTGCTGCGGGCAGCTGTGGCACGTGCCTTCCTTCTGGAGCTCCTCCTGAAGGTGCTGGGCTTCTGCTCCCACTGCTGCTGCTGCTCCCCACTGCGAGGGCTAGAAATGTTCTTCCCTCTCCAGAATAATTTATTCTTGCCCTGGTTGGTCTTGTGCTCCTGGAGTCTGTTTCAGCGGCTGAAGGCTGGTCCTGCACACACCTCTTGCACACCTTTTGCTCTCCTGCACTCTCAGGAAGCAAAATACACAGGATCCTCCAAACTCCGGCTCTTCTGACCGTGATTTTTTCTCCTGTTTTCTTTACTCTGTGGAAGGATGTAAGCTGGGGGGGGATTTTTCTTTTTTTTTTCATTTGAGACTACATTTTCAGACTTACACTGATTATATTTATTTCAGTTCAGGGAGCATAAAGACTGAAGTCTCTGACTGAATAAGTCTCACCATGAAGTGAAGGAATGAGGGGTGGCAGAGCCACTGCCTGGGCGGCGTTGGGGGAGCCCGGAGCACTGATCTGTGCTGGCTCTGCCCCAGCTGGGGCTCTGCTTGGGCATCAGGGGAGAAGACAGCAGAAATGATTTAATTTTGGACATGGACATGTTGGACATCCTGTTGGGTTGGAGGAGTGGGGCTCTGGTGTCTTGCGGAGTAGAGGTGGCAGGGCCCACATCTTCATAGCCCTCAGGCCACTTCATGCTCATGTCAGAGGGGTTGCCAGGGAAGAAAATTAATGTTTTGTTCATTCTTTGAATATAGCACAGGGCAAAATTGTATTTTCCTATTTCCACATCCTTCCAACATCTGGTGAGTTGGGAAGTTGTATACAAATGCCGTGGCAAAAATCCTTAACAAAACTGTCTTATGTAGAGTGAATGGGAAAAAACCCACTTTAAATTCAGAAGGAGACCACGAAATCTGAATTAAAGCACACTGATTTTTGTAGCGTGGCAACTTTCTGTGGAATCTCTTATTTTGAGAAATGGAGTCAAGAATAAGATCATGAAAACATTTCTTATCTCTGATTCTATTGCTGTGATAATAGAGGACATAATTTCTGTGTCTGTGGATTTACTAACTATAACAATAAAGCTAAAACTAAATGTTTCTTTTGTTGTTTTCCAAAGGATTCACCCCCCTGAATTCTTCAAGAACAAATACGCTGTGGATGAAGTCCACTATGTGCATGAGGTGAGTTGACTGTTTCTGGGTATTTTTCTGTGAATACAAAATCAGTATGTGGCAATGATTTTGCTTAACTTTAGTCCTCTGCTGACCGGATGTCTCCTGACTTGGTGGAACCTTTTTCTCCCCTAGTTACTGGAAAGTGTCCTTCATTTTTATAAAGCACATGTGATTTATTTATTTTTTAAAAGGCTGCCATTTTGAGCTGAACACTAAGGTCTTAATCCAAAGAGTTCTCACGATGCACAGAACATGTTTATGAGACCTGTCAGTCTGTGTCTTTATCCAACAGAAATGTGTTGATAAATACATTTTTTGTAGTGCCCTGGGGATTTGAGGAGGTTGCTGTCAGAGTTGCCATGTCCTGACTCAGGAACCTGTGTTTATTTTGTGCCTCTGCAGAGCTGCTAGGAAAGGCTGGCTGCCTTACTCTTAGTTCATGTCAAATCATTCTAATATTTAAATAAGGAAATATATTCATATTTTTAAATGCAAGTGTGACTTGCATAGTTAGGTTTCGTTTTTAGTTTCTGAGCAGAGGTTTGTGTGCTCACGCAGTGGGAAGGGCAGCAGGGTGAGGGCAGTGCCCCTGCCCAGCTCCCCGGGGGATTTCCATGGAGAGCGGCTGGAAAAGGAAGGCTGTGATATTTTCTCCCTGCAGAGCACTATCGACCAAAACTTTTGCTCTCATCAGCCGTGAGGACGTTTTGTTTCATTTTGATAGTGAGCCCAGCTATGAAGTGAAGTTTGATCCTGTGTTGGAGTGGGAGCTGTGGAGAGGCTGCTGACACCTGTGAGCTCCATCACGCTGAGTGCAGGTGCTCCAGTGCTCATCCATCAGATGGCGAAAATTGCAAGTGGAAAATACGTGGTTTATTTTTAAAAATCACATTCATTTTAGGTCGCCTTAGTTGTTTTGGGTCACTTTCCATCAACAAATGCCTTTATGGCAGTCTGTTCTCTGCTTCCTTACTGCTTAAAAATCTCATCGATGGGAAAAAGAGCTCTTTATGTGGAGCAGTAAATTGTCCCAACATAAAGGTTGTTTTCTGCCTGGACAGAAACTGGAAACCTGGATTGAAGGTAGAAGCTGTTGAAGGTGGCAGCAAAACTGTTCAGCTTTCAAAGGTTCTGTCTATAACTTTTGCCCGATTTGCCAAGGAATTGGTTTTCCACCACCAGGACACTGTGTGCCATGTTTACAGGATAGTTTTATGTCAACAAATGACCAACTTGTGTGAGTGTGTAATCCTGATGTTTCATGGGAAGAGGGGGGAAAAAAAGGTGGAGTTGGTATTTTTCTACCTTGCTGCCACATGGTTAATGTTATTAGTGTACTGTTAAGCTGGTTTAAAGTCGGTAGAACTGTGCTCAGTGGAATGACATCATCTGCTCTCTGCCTGGAGGAACGGGTAATTCCGTGCCCACATCTCTGCCCCTGCTCCCAAAGCCCAGCTCTCCACAAGCCCAGTGATACTGTTCTCAGTTTGTAAATGTTTGAAAAGTACTGAAGGAGCCTAAAGAACTATTAGTCAGTAAAAATGATCCATGAGAATAACAGTAAACATTCATTGCTAAGCATTTAGCACGCTGTAACATCATATTAATGAGCCTGTGGTTTCCATGCAGTAGTGCCCTGGGGATGCAGTGACCTGTGTTCCTTACTTCTGTGTGACTTCACAGCTTCTGGGCTCGTACTTCTTCTGGCCTCCAAATGATGACAACAGACTTAATCTTAAATTATAGTTGGTATTTATGTCTTTAAAGGATGCCACCAGCTTAAGCACTGTGTTTCTGTCTAAATGTTTTGTGATCTGAATTACTACAATATCTGAAATATAGCAGAGGAGCATTGTTTGGCTTTGCAGCTTGTTTACTTTGTGTACAGTAAATGTTGATGAAATTGGTATAAATGTGATTGTAAGGCAGAAAAAAAAGAAAAATAATAGCAATCTAAAACTTCTTTTTAGATATCCAGTGTCTTGGCTTCGAAGAAACCCGCTGTGCTCCTTACTTTGGTGAGTCACACTGTTCTGCAGAATAGCTGCCTATGTTCTTCAATAAGGAGATAATTTGGTATTTCTTTGCACGGGCATTCCCTATCTTCTCCTCCCCATCTGTGCCAAACGTGAAGCTACGTGTGTGTAGCCATCTAGTCTTCTGGCTTCTCCATGATCTCAAGATTTGTAACTTCTGGCCTTCCAGTCTGCATTCTCTCTGCTAAAAGCTTCATGTGTTTCTGGTAAAACATGACAAGCCCACCTGACAGAGACCATGGTCTCCTCCAGCCTTGTTCAGTGACTGAACTCCATTGTTCTCTGCTGCTGCTCTGGTCATGACATGAGCATGTTTGGGCCTTTCTGTGGAATCCTGCAAGGATTCAGGGAATACTTTTTCTGCCTAGAGTGGGGTGGTAAGAACAACTTCTGGGAGGAGGGAGTGATACCACACACCTGCCCAGTGTTTTGGATGGTGATTGCTGTGTTCTCTGGAGGAAGGATGAGTGAATGGATGTAAAACCTGCAAGTTTTTTCTTCCCGTCACCTTTCCCCCAGCTCCTTTCCTTCACAGATGGTTTTTAAACCTCTCACTATTAAGAGTATCTGATTTCTTGTCTCCGATCTATATAAGAAATGATTTGCTGACTCTGAGCTTTCCCTTACAGCAAATGCAGTGAGAGCTCCTGGATTTCTTGTTTTCCCATGACAGTTGCCAGACGGAAGTCTTACCAAAAATCCCTCCTTAAAGAGTTACATAGCAAGAGATCTGATTTCTTTATCCAGAATATTCCTGCTTATGCTACCTGCATTAGAGAGCACCATGCACATTTAAATAGTAAGCATTGCCAAGGCAGTGCCTAATAATTTATTTTTAAAGGAAAATACTTTAGAAGAAACCTTGCCCATTTGTTATTCCCTTGCCCTTTATTATTATGTAGGTCTCCTAGTTCCCTCTCAAGACATAAGGAAATTAGAAATCAAAGCTTGCAATTTTCCTAAGCAGCATATCCTGACCTGGGTTCTACTCTGGTCTCTTATGAAATAAATAATTTCTTATATTGGTCTGCATTTGAACAAACAGGCTGGGTTTTTTTATTTCTAGTGATTCAAGTAAACTTCTGTGTAAGTTTTCCTGCAATCAGATTCTCCCCATGATTTAATTTTTAAATACTTGTGTTTGGCTTGGAATCACGGTCCCTTTAATCTTTTCCCTCCCAGCGCGGTGTTAACACCGACAGCGGAAACATCTCCAAAGAAGCTTCCTTTGAGGGGATCAGCCAGTAAGTGACAAGGCTTTTTTTATACATTAATTGTTGCATGATTATGCTTAATTCCTTTTATATTTCACATTAAATGATGCTTTTTTTAATGACGGGATGTTGAATGGCAGATCAAATGTATGGGTATTTCTTTGGAAAGAAAATGTTTGACATATTTCTGATGACTCGAGATATAATGGTGGGGTTTTTTGGAATCTCTTTTGCATCTGAGGTCATCCAATGGTTCTCTTTCTCCGTGTTTGCTTTAAGTACCTAAAGCTGTACAGACCAGTTCCCTTACCTCCATTTCCCATTTTGGGATTGGAATATTTGGTTTTTAGATATCAGAAAAAGGAATCTTTAAGGGTAGCCTTTTCTCTTGGTGACTTCCCTGTACAGTGTTGAGGTGGGTGTGAGGAATTCTGGTGTGTACAACCTTCTGACAGGATGTCGCATTACGGGTATAAAATAAAAGATCCCCTTTCTGCTGGATGGGAGCTTTTAGTGTCACTTGATGTTGTCTTTTTATGAAATTTGGCTGCTAGTGGCGTGAAAATGTCCTCCTGCAGTATTTTGAAAAGGCAATAAATAAAAATACATCACAGCCTGCTCTGGGATGTGAGGACGATGGCCTCAATTTTGAATGAAATACAACTGTCTATTCTGTTATGATATCCTCAAATGAGATCATTTTCCATTTTAGCTGAAGTGTATGGCAAAAGAGAAACAAAGCCTCCCATTAAAAAGCCTGTTAAAATAAACACTCATGCTGAGATGTTGAGTAAATGGCCTTTTTTTTTTTATGATCCTTGACTCCCAGTCACCCCGCTGTATTTTTCTCCATCCACCTCTGTCGACAGCATAATAATTATGTGCTGATGATCGTAATGTGCAGGATTTGCTGCAGGTCTGGGCACTCACTTCTGTGGTCCGAGAGCACGCTTTCTGCTGGGATCATCTTTTCTCTGTGTCATGTGAGCCAAAATCTGGAGTCTGATTCTGCAATTACTTTGGTTTTGCCCTCTACAACCTAAATGGAAACTTAATGGTTCTGTCAGGGGTATTGGGGACCAAGGTAGCAAACATTCAGACATCTTTTGTTGCCCAGTGAGTTAAATATAAACTATGCCAGAATACAAGGAAGCTATTTTTAATGTGTATTTGGTGTCCTCTCTGCTGTTACAGCAATGTGATGCTGGGTTGCTTTGACCAAGTAGATGCTCCATGACCTTATGCTCTCCGGGTACAGGTGGGCTCCAAAGTCCATATGGAGAGACACCTCCAGTTTTTATCTGAGACACCTCTGCATGAAATACAAACAGTTATTAGCTGCAGCAGTAATTCGTATGGGAATGATGTACAAAGGTCTGTTTGAAGTACCAAAAAGCCCTTTTTTCCCCTGAATTTTGCTAAACACTAGAGTTTAATTAGAAACGCATTCTATTACTAGTCAACATGAAGGTAGGAAGCCACTCCATTTAGCACTTGATTTGAGATTTTAATAGCGTGTCTCCTGCAACACTTACAGGGATTGATGGTATTTTATTGCTGGCTTCTGGATTTTTGGTAAACACGCTGTGGGTGCTCGGGTAGGGAGCTTCCCCCTTCCTCAGGGGCCGTTTCCAGCTGATGCTGTTCCTTGGAGACCCGGGATGGCTCACGCCTCTCCCCCCCGAGGCACCACACTGCTGCTTGTGCTGCCTTGGCCAGCCCTGGTTGGTGTCTCCAGCCCTCCTGCTGTCGTGCTCCCCCACCTCTCCTCTATCAAATGTCACCTTTATAGAAACACATATATTTCCAGTGGATTGATTTCTTCCCAGAGGATTAAAACTGTGGAATTAGTACCAAGCCATGTCTTCCTTCAGACCTCCCTCCTCCCGTCTGCCCGGGCCTGCGCTGTGTCGGCCGCCTCCGTCTTCCCGGTGACGCTGCACTTTATCCTGCCTCTGATGCTGTATTTTATTCCTGGGTTGTTCTTTGTTCCTGTTTTCTGGCTACCTGGCCAAGATGTATTTGCTCGAGGGCCCTGTTGTGTTCTTCCTGCTCCCATTTATCTTTTTTCTCCTCGGCTGCCTGGGCCCCGGTGCCGCTCCCTTGTGGGTTTTTTGCGATGGATAATAATAGAAATAATGTATCATTTCCTGAAAAAGCTGAATCTTGCTCTCTTTGCAGGCCCTTCATCAGCTCCTGTCAGAAGCTGCCTTTCTCTTGCCCTAATGATGTTGCTCCCCTGCTTTACTTTTTGAACCTTTTGAACTTCTTCTGGAAGATAATTACCTAAAGTATTTGATTAATTTTTCCACTGTAATAAATAGTCATTTGAGACAAAATGACTATTGTGGTCATGGGTTATTTCTACTCTCACCCTGAAGATCACCCTAAGTTATTTTTATCCTGCAGCGATGATTAAACTGGTTTTATGCTGATGATAGAGCCCCCAATTAGCGAATTGTGCCATCATGTCCATCAGTTGAGGTGTGGCTCTCCGGTACAGCCCAGTGTGTTGTGCTAAACCAGCTCGTGTGCTGCTGAGGGCTGTAGGGAGGGAGAGGGGCTCTACCTGGGGAGCCCCCTCCTTTGCTGGAGGGACCAGAGTAGGACTTGGGGGACCTGGGTCCTTCCCTGGTGCTGCTCCCAGGGATGCCCCTCACACCAGCTGTGTCCAGCTGTTCTGCAGCCTGCAGCAGGGACTGGCTCTCACACACCTCGGAGCCTGAGGTGCAGAAGGCAGGGTTCTGAAGCAGCTCTAGTGCCTTATTTTCTGGAAAGATGTATTTCTGTTTGCTAATAAAGGCTACTTCTGGTTGGATTTTTTTCTAATTCATGGACCCATTTTTCAGACTGGAAAACGTGTGGGAATTTTTAAAATCTAATCATATAGTGATTATGTAGCACTTGTAAAAATGCTTTGAGCTGCTGTGATTCACCATACAGAAAATGGGTTTGGAATCCGTATGTAATGTGCTACATTTAAAACACTGTTGAATAAATCTTCGCTGGCTGCGTTGGGGCTTGTTTTAATCCTTGGCATGGATTGCTGTAAGTGACGGGCAGTTTAAGCACTCGTACCTCATGTTTAAAGTTTGTCAGCGAGTTCCTCTGCCTCAGGACTGCCCTGTTGGGGACGGCAGTGACGACCATGGCAGTGGGCTCTCCCCAGCTGCAGCCTGGTCAGTCCCTAGGGGAAACACTCCCCAGGTTGAAGAAGAGCAGAAAGTTCTAACATTGGGTGTGTTTTAGATTTTTATCACATACACGTATACACATAAAGCGTGTTCCTTAAACTGACAAAAAAGTTCCTCATTATACCGTGTTATTAAATAGGAGACGTAGATTTCTAGGGTTTTTTAAACTAATGAAATTGTCTTGCATGTTAAAGGACAACTGAGTATGAAATCAGTTTGGACATGCTTTTCAGTGTGGTATTTCTTAGTTCTGTGTTGATTAAATGGGAGCATTAACATGTTACAGATTGCAACTGTAGCAAAATATCAATTTACTTGCTTCCTCCAGAACACATATCTCATCATCTAAGTATTGTCAATTTGCAGATTGCAGGGAAATGTAGAATTGGGTTGCTCTATGTGATCCTCTTAACGGTAGGGCAGTTTTTAAGAGTAAGTTGTTTATTGTCTCGCAGATAAAATCTTTGCTGGATTAACAAGGTGGGGTTATTTTATGTAGGACTTTGTGCACAAATTATATGAATTATTTGTTTTGATCAGTGTTTATATTCTCCTGTTAGTGATGGCAAGCTCTTCCCCTTGCGCTTGTTATTTAGAATAGAACCATAGAATTGTTTAGGTTGGAAAAGACCTTAAAGATCATCAAGTCCAACCGTTAACCTAGCACTGCCATGTCCACCACTAAACCATGTCCCTCAGCACCACCTCTACATGTCTTTTATACAGAATCATAGAATCGTCTAGGTTGGAATTAACCAGTAAATTTTGGGTTGTGGTTTGCTCAGCTGCCTTGTTGGTAATCAAGTGAAGCACAGTTTGGGTCGTTAGCGTCCTTTTAATCTGGTTTTACAAGACATTCTTGTTTCCAAATATCAACTTTATTCTGTAATTATGCAGTATTCTGTCACTTGTGGCTTTTTGTATGGTTGCTTTTCCAGTGGTTTCTAATTAATACCCACAATACTGAATACCATGCGGTTTGTCCTTGTTGAATGTTGTGATAAGTTGTTTTCTATCTGGGGGTAGGAGCACAAAGCTATTAACCTTCACCTTGTTAGGATTTTATAAGTTTATGAGCATATGTTCTTGAAAATAGAGGAGCATGGTTTTTTTTCCTGCTATCTGAGGATGCAGGAAGACCCTGGTACAATCAGAAGTGACTTCCAAATAATTTTTTTTAATTGGATTTGTGCTTTAGTTCATCCCTTCTGAGGTATAAAGAATGGTTAATAACCTGGAATAGATTTAATTTTTCCTTCAAAAAATGTGCGAAAATTAATTGTTGCCTTACGACATTCTTCTGAAGATCTGTTGGGAGCCTTGGAGCATTTTAATTCTCCTAAATGCCCTAACTGAAGAGCCAGCAGTCCTGAGTCAGACAAAAATATCTTTGATGCAGAACATTCCTTAGGCATTTAAATTGTAAGCAAAAAAAACCCTTGAACAATGCTTGAAAATCCATTTATGTTCCACTTAATTACTCAGCCCCTGACTCTGTTGGCCACCGCAGTGATTGTTTGGAGTGCCTCAGAACAGTTCCAGGGATACAGGAGTCGCTGCTGTAGGAGACACGGGCAGGAGAGCGGGGAGGGTTTGAGGCCAGGGGGATGGAGGTTTGCCTTTGGCTTTGGCTCTTCTCTAGATGGGACGAGACCCAAGGAGCGGTTCTTTCCCTTCTCACAGGCCCCAAGACAGCCTGTTTATCACACAACACCTTCTGTGCACACACAAACGAGGGGGTGCACAACGAAATTAGCGATTCCCCGTGTTTAATTTCATTGAAGGGTGTTTGAGGAGCAAAGTTAAAATCACAGAAGAGTTCTGGTTGGAAGGGGACTCTGGAGGTCAGTCTGGCCCAACTCATGCCCGGAGCAGTGAACTGATAACATTTTCTCGTGGTCAAAACAAGTTTTTTGAATATTTCCTGAATGTGCTGTTACTCTGATCTCTGCACAGGGTTGAAATGATGTGTCTGATTTGGTGGCATGTATTTCAGAATGACATACCTGCTCAGCTGAGCAGAGCGGGGGCTGTGGGTCTCCCGGGGCCCACACTGTACTGGATGCAGTGTTTGCCTTCACGGGTTCTCACATCCTCAGAGGGGAAAAAAAAAAAAGTACATCAGCAGTCTCTGCTGGTGTGTGTTTGGCTGGTTTATAACATTTCTATTTTTGGCGTTTTTTTGTAGATTCAATGTGAACAACAAAATCCTTCATCCTGAAATTGCAGAATGGTGAGTAGCATAAAATCTTTCTCTTTGAGTAGTGGTTAAGGTCCTTCTGTTCCGTACCCTCGCTTCAGAGATTCCCTCGGCAGAAGCCTCCTAGCTCACTAGATAAGTTTTAATTTTAAGCTGATTTCGCGTTGTGGGGTGGAAGTAATGTACAAAAGTAAAACCAGGACTAGGTAAGTAAAGTCAAGAGTTTCTGTAACGTTTTTTAAGCCTTGTGCCTCGATATGCATTTTTATAGAATGTGTTTGGAGTGCAGTCACATTTGTATAAATGTGAATTTGTACGAGTAGGAAAAGAACTGAGGATAATTCATATTCTAGCAACGAAAATCAAAGGTAGATGAACTGTGTCTGAACAGGTAATATTTAACAAGGTGTTACTACTTCTCTAGGATTTATTTTAACAGTATTAATTTTGTTGCATTATTATTCATGTAGCTACACTTTGTAATTCTAGAGGAGCTGTGCCGTAGCCTCTCTGGAAGAGGCGGGTGGGAGCAGGACTGTGTGGTAGCACCTTGCAGAGCTGCTGCATTTCCCACTCCTCCTCTTCGGAAGCGGCATTTGCCGACTTTAACTCAGGATTGCTCCAGAACTAGGGCTCTCCAGCTCTCCATTTAGGAAATGCACTGAGGAAATACCGTAGTGGATTTTTGTTAATGAATTAGGTTTTTTATCTAAGCTTTTATAGTGTATTAATCTAGAAATGAGGAAGCAAATCCTTAGTTAAGACAGCTTAGTTTGGAATCTTAAACTGCGAAGAGGTCAGTGTGCCCTGCCTGCCCCTGCGGTGCCTGGTGGCATCCCGTGCTGCTGCCACCATTCCCTTTGATGGCTGTTGCTGCCACCAGCGCTGAGAACGACCAAGAGATGGTCGGCCTTTGAGGTGCAGAGTCCTGACTAATGTAGACACGAGTTCAGAAACTGATGCGTAGGGATGTGCAAATTGAACGCTATGAAGAAAACTTGGTAAAGAAGGAGTTTAGCAAAACCCGCTGCCTTTTAGAAGTCCCATTAGTGTTCGGTTAGTCAAGCTCCTGCCATGGCAGATGTTGCTTGGGAAGATCTTGAAATGTTCACAGGTGCTGTGAGCCCCTCATGCTGGGTCACATTCCTTACAAAAATAACAGAAAGGGGTAAGTCAAGTTAGAAGCTTTTGAAACAGTCTCATTTCCCTGCAGAGGAGGTGCTGCTCGGCTCCCGCTGGTTGGTTTGTGTTGGGGTTTTGGTGTTTAATACCCTGGGAACCATCAGCCTCTGAGATGTGGGTATCACATGCCCAGCGGCTTTTTTCTTTTTTTCTTTTTTTTTTCCCTTCCAAATTGAGTGAATGTGTTTTCAAAGGCATTTAAACACTTCCATTTTAAATTTCAGGATGCTCATTTCAATTTTGATACTGAACATATACACTAAATATCTATTTTGATAGATACTTAAATAGATTTTGATAGTTTTGAAAAGAAAATATCATCTAACAGAAGACAAACTCCAAACTTGTCCAAATTATCTCCCTAGTAATTGGAAAGGAGAACCAAAAGAATTAAAAATTATAGGTCAATCCTGACAGTAGGAAACCTGTGCTTCTCTGTGAACTTGGTGGCACTGAGTGGCTTCCCTGCTCATTGAGAGCTGTGGTACCTGCTGAATCTGCACATTTTGCAGTTGCATTAGCTGGAGCCTGGGAATGATTTGTTCCTATTAAAATATTAATGAATGTATGCAGAGTGTGTAACTTGTCCAAGAGCTGTTTTTAATAGAACGTTGACATTCACATTTGTGAACAAAGTTGGGACAATCTTCCTGGCCTCATCTGGGAAGCAGGGGGAAAACAACATAAGAACTGGAGCACTCATCACACGAGATTGTTCTGCAGTTCTGACTCATCACGGTGCTTGACTGGCTATGCTTCATGCCATCAAACCAGTACGAAGGTGGTGAAACACAGACCCTTCTGCTGCCCAGATGTGCTGGTAGGAGCTCCATAGGCAGTCCCACAGCCCAGGAACCTGCTTGCTCCTGTGCCCAGCGGAGGGTGAGGCTGATGGTGTTCCCTGCACAGTTGTGCATCCTCCCTCTCCTCCCCACCGACGGCTGGGGAGGGGGGTTTGTCAGTCTCAGAATGACTAAACATTTTCTGTGAGGTGTTTCAGTGGTTGACCTTGTGTAAATGGAGGTGATGCGTTGCATAAAAAGTCTGTCTGAGGCTGAGTATGAGTTTATATATATGCAGAAAGGTAGCCGAGGAGTTACAATCTAAAATAAATACCTTGACCCTGAAGCCTCTGACCTAGTCAAGTAAAATAGTTCTAATACTTCTAATACTGTTTGCGCTTGCCGTGGAGCAGTCACTCACTTGTATTGCTGGCAGATCCCAATGAAGAGATTAGACAACTGAATTATGAAACAACCTATTTTTCAGGCACTTGCAGATCAGAGATATGTACTGTATATTGAAAGTAATATAAAGGCACATCAAACAAGTATTAAATTATCCTGCTAGCACATGCAGTCTTCCGAAGAACAGGATTAAAAAAAAATAAATCTGTAAGCCTTTGCTCCCTCATTCTAGCTTGAATATATTTGAGCTGCTGTTCTGTATGTCTTGGCTGAGAGGCAGGAGCAGAAGTTTGTTTCCTCACCCATGGTGAGCAGATTACACCATCCAGTGTAATTTTTTCACCTCGGTGTGCATTTTAAAGCCTTGCACTTCTCATTCTCAATGCGCAGAATGACTATTTTGTGTCATATTCTAAAACATTGGCTAAGAATGTCAGTCCATTCCCCTCTGCTCTGCTCCTGTTTGTAAGAGCAGGGTGATGGATGTTGGTGTTTTCACAAAGTCGGAGCATTTTACTCTGGCAGAGCAGTGGTGTTGGGAGCGATGCCACTGGGGCTGTGGGAAATGCTCTGATGGCTGGGAAACCTGCTTTTGGGTCATTAAAACTAACTACAGGAGCAGAAATACAGTAAATAGTTCTCCACAGCTGTGTGAGTAGGAACATGTTATAATAAAAAAGGGGTGTCTTGGTGGCCGTTTCAAAATATAACAGTTGTGGTACTTTGTCACTGCTGCAAACTCTGGAGTGGAGCTGGAAAATACAATTTAAATATCTCCACTCAATTGAGTAGGTAGTTTTGTTCCTTGTAAACAGTAAGTGTGTACTTCATGGCTGCCTTTGAGACAGGCATGAGAAGTATGAGGGAATCAGTGTGTGCAGCAGTGGAAAGAGTAGCTGATTTTTAATAGAAGGTATGGAACTGTCTCTGCTTCCCTCTTCACGTCCCACTAAATAGCTGCCATTATTGGAAATACATGGTAGAAAGGACTGTAAGTAGAGAAGATTTTAATGGCAAGTTTTTGAGATGAGCTCAGAACAGAGGGCTCATAAGCAGACACAGCTGCAGTATCTCATCAGGCATGGAGAACAGGATGGGGTTCGGGACGGGTGTTTGGTTTGGGTTTTTTTTCCCTCCAGAATAATGTGAAAGAATGGACATTGTGGCTGTAATTACTGCTGCTCTGGTTTCTGAATTGCATGGTTTGGGTTTTTTAATACCAAACAGGAATAACATTTTTTCATACCCCCTCCTCCCTGCCTTTTGAGGTATTGTAAATAGGTGAGAGGTGGGATTGTGCTGAGTAGACATTCTGGAGTTCTGGGAATTTCATTATGTAAACTAGTTTCAAATTGTGCTTAAAAAGTGAATCAAGGGTGCTTGTAGAAATTTTCTGTTTGAAGTAGTGTTTGAGCCATGACAAATACAGAAATACATTGCTTTTGTTCCTAATGTATTAAGAACGAGTTGAAATGATGTTGGTTGGACCCCTTGTTTATTAGTAACACAACCCTGCAGCGGGTGCCTGCAGTGCCTGGGGCTGCCCTGCACAGGGGGGTTGTGCTAACGGGGCATCAGCACCAGCCAAGCTCTGCTGCCAGGAGTGCTGCAATAGCTCTTCTCTCTTGAGGTGTGCTTGATCTAATTTTGTCAGAGGTGATGCATACCACTTTCAGGGGTTTTTATTTTGTATGCCTAAGCTGTGGAGTTGCAACCTAACCTGACATCTGTTCTACTTTTCTTTAAGTCGCGTGATTAAGACAGACATGGAGTTGGAAGTTCTGCGCTACACCAATAAAATCTCCAGTGAAGCTCATAAAGAGGTAATGGATCCTTTACTGTTAATAATTTTTGCTCTCAGTGTAGCAGTGATGCTCAGAAAATGTTCCCAGCAACCCTGAATTGCTTAGTAATAAAATAATGGAAAGGCTGGATAGAAATAAGAGGATAATATCCCTCCTATTACCGCCCAGTAATATCCCTGGCGTTGTCCTTGAACTCACCGGTGCGTTTGTGATGTGGGAGAAATGGAGTGTGGTTTGGGTGAGTGTGGAGCCTCTGCAGAAGGTGACCTGCCTGCACCCTGTCTGTCCGGCGGCACAAATACCCCTGGGGGCTGGAGGAAGGAGAGAGCAAGCAGGTCATTCTTCTGGCCCAGGTCAGCATGTGCAGCTCTGAAAAGCTTCACCAGCACGTTCCTCTCTCCAGATCCTCATCACATCTGAGGGGATTGCTTCTGTAGCCTACAACTTCCATGGTACAGAAACAGGCAAAGGTATAAAACTGGCGCACGTTCTCCTCAAAGCTGAGAACAAAAATCAGACTTTTGGGTTGTAAACCAGTGCTAACTCTGGTAGTTTTCTGTTGACTCAGATTGTAAAGTATAAAAGAGAGTCTCCCTTTGTAGTAATTCCAGTTCACAAGTTTGTTTTGCTGCTGTGTCATAAAAGTCAAACAAAAGGACTTGCTGCCAAGATCGCCAGAGCTTTCCGAATTAATCATTGTGTTTTGATGAGCTACACTTCATTAGGATATAGTAGTTTGGCAATTAAACGTGCTTTATTGCTGGAGACTGCAGGCATTTATAAAGATTAAAATGAGTTTGATTTCTAATGTAGTTTTAAAATGCATCTTCTGATGTAAATTTAAATGAAGTACAGATGATATTTTTGTAATATAGGTTTCTCTGGAGATAGTCATAAGTCATAAATTTATAAATGTGAGATTCCCTCCTGCTACGAATGTCCCATGTATGTATCTTACAGGTAATGAAGGCAGTGAGGGCGGGCATGAAAGAATACGAGATGGAGAGGTAAGAGTTCCTTCAATAATTGTAATAACAAGCAGAAAGTCTCTCTGTGGCAGCGGCAGAAGCAGTAGCTGAGGCGTTGCTCCAGCTGAAAGCGAGAGCTCGTTGCTGTTTGAAGGCTGTTGGGGGTGTTATTTTGGGTTGGTACGTCACCACTTTCAAACGTGTCTTTGGTGAGGGTTGAATATTTTTTTGTGCTGGTTCAGTGTAGTGTGATGCTCCTCCTGGAGGTTTAGGAGTTCACAGCCGGCCAGTGAAGGGGTGTTTCTGGACAACCCGTGCCCTTGTGCTTGTGGTGCTGAGCAGCCTGGGGGTGGGGGTGTGGGAGAGCCCCCCCAGCTCTGTCACCTGCCTGCGTCACCGGGCACCGAGGGGAAGGGATGGCTGATACTGGAGGGATGTGTTTAGATACAGGGAAAACACTCCCTCCTCTTCCAAATCAATATTTACATTAGATCAGCAGCAGCCTGCCTTACAAAGCACAGTTTTGATCACTAAGTCCATTTATTTTTAGCTCGCATACAGTGTTTTCAATTTTCCACGTATTTGCATAAGGAAGGACTAGAAAATAGTGTTGTAAAACTAGTAACAGTAGTTACTGTTGTTCCTTGACAGTAATTTGTCCATCGTTAGTAAGCAGGCTAATTCGGCACCCAGTGAAGGGAAAATAAAGTGACCTCAGGATTTGTCATCAGGATTTCAAGGTAGCTCAAAAAGCAAATCATGCCCTTAGAACATATGCAATATGGAAAAACTAATGTTACATCTAAGCAGTTTAAATTTCTACAGACTCTATGGGCCTATAATTTGACCGTGCATCAAATGGCAGTTACATATATCAGCAGGTAACGGGGGGAAAAAAAAAAGTTGCATACATTTTCTATTAACATTATTAATGAACTTTGTGTTTGTGTTCACTTTCCTTGCTGTCCGTGCTGATAGTGAAATTTTGGCTCTGGAAGTCAGTAGTAATCAAAAATTCCCATAGAGCAGAGTTTGTTCTCAAGTGCTTTAAATGTCAGGATCCTGGCAGTTTGGCTTAAATGTCACACAACAAATCCATATATATGCACTGCTCTGTAAGTCTATGGGGTATATTGCATTGCCACTCCGGCATGTTCACTCTTCTCTGACTAGCTTCTCCCAAACACACCAACCTTTTGAAATGATTATTTGCGTCTTTCAATTAAAAAAATAAATAAATTAGGCAACTTTCTATGAAACCTATTTAAAATTGCCGTCTGTTCTTCCATATGTCTTGATAGATTGCACTTCTTGAAGGAGTTTGAGGTCATTTCACTAATGAAAGAGGTCTTGGCAGGATCCCTCTGAGGTGTCTGCCTTGGGGGGACTATAATTAGAACTTCCCTTTCTGGTGCTGGTGGAATCATCCCTGCTCTGGTTTCTGTTCCCTTATTGCTTAGGGAGAAAGGGTCCCCACATTTACAATTTACATTTAAAAATGTAAACCTGTCATTTCCACACCTCTCTGGCAAGAAATGTGTGGTTGAAATTTTTCTAAATGAAGTTAGAAAATAATTGAGGAAATCTCCACTCTGTATGCAGATAAACCCATTAAAGTGTTCTAAGAAGGGAACTTTCAAAGACCTAAAAATAGGTAACGTCCAAACCCAGACAATAGTCATTGAAATAGTAGAGTCTTTTAATTTTTTTTTTTTTTTTGGTCAACCGCCTGGAGAGCTTGCGCGGGCAGCTTTGGTACATCTGGAATCTCAGGGCACAGAGAACAAAACTTCTTAGTCTGTAGAGGTCTATCAAAAGCATTCACACTTGTATTTAAGAGAGCAATTAAAAGTTGATGAAGTTTTTCATGTTCTGATGTTTCTAGGGCCTGCCCTGCCTTTGCAGAGCTTTCTGACCGGTGTGGTGCTGTTCCCCAGCTCTGCTGGCACTTCCCTCTGGGGGCTGGGAACCTGGTGTTTTTGCAATGAACACAGCTGTCTTTGAGTATCACCAGTAGCCCCCCTTCCTATGGCTTTAACTCATTCTTTGCATGTGTGGGTTTGGGTGCAGAGCTGCTCTGACCCTGCCTGCCAGGAGGAATAATGCCAGAGATCTCAAAAGCAATTAGAATTTTCCATGGCTCCATGTAGGACCTTAACATTGCCTTTCCCTGGTGGTTCTGCCACCAAACAGTGAGTCATTTTGCTTCTGCTTTATCATACGGCCAGAACAGGTTAACATTCTCCAGGAAATGCATCCCGGAGCCAACCATGTACAGCAATAGTTGTATTTCTAGGGTTGGGATTGTTCTCTGAGAAGTAGTTTGAAGGAAATTAAGTGAATGTTGGTGAAATCTGTAGATAAGATACTAGCTTTTGTTTTGAGGGTTTAGAGCCAGCTTCAGCTGGAAATATTCTTTACAATTAAGGTCCACTACTGAATTATTTTGCATCAGTAATGCCTTAATGCTGAGATGTATAAAAAAAAATGAAAGCATTTAACTGCAAGTCCAATCAGCCCTGACTTCTTTTTTTTTTTTTTGGTTTGAAGTTATTTAACTTTAATATGTGGTCGGTTGACTTTAAGGAGACATTTAACTGCAAATCCAATCAGCCCTGACTTTTTTTTTTTTTTTTTGGTTTGAAGTTATTTAACTTTAATATGTGGTCGGTTGACTTTAAGGAGACAGCCAAGGCAATTATCTACAAACAGTAATTCACAGCATGTGTAATTGCACATAAAGTCATTTCAGGAGGTCAGATTCTGGATTTTCTCTGAAGTAGTTTGTTTACTATTTGTGCTTATCTCATGTTTAATTAATCTTCTTTAATTAAAGGCTTTTAATTATGAAACTGCTCTGTAGTGAATATATTGTTAAAATACAGCAAAATGACGAAAGAAATCTCTTCAGCTCAAGAAATGTGTGAAAAGCTAAGTTGTCTTAAGTGTGTATATATGGACAAAAATCTGTTGTGTATGTATCTAGATATATACATACAGACTGAGAGTCCTAATTGGGACATAGAGTTGTCTGCTCCAGGGTCTCTGGTGATCTGGAGACCCCTTCTCCAGATGAGTGTTTATCAGTTTCTAGAGGGCGGCTTATTCATCTGCTTGGTACTGAGCAACGAACCTTCTCTGCATTTTCTCATTTGTTCCCTTTTTTACTGGAGCCAACAGTTTTCAGATGGGACTTGGCTGCCTGGAATTGTCGATTGACTGGGGAATGACATGCAAGTGTGTGGTCCATCCATAGCAAAGCCACAGCAGAGCTTTGGACCCGTAGCTGTTGGGGGTTTTTATCCTCTTAATAGCGCGAGGGCCCCGTGACAGGAGTGAGTGGGCAGTGCTGAGCTTGTTCATGATGATGATGATGATGTTGTCATTGCTGTGGTGACACTGGGCAGCACCCAGGCTGGCTGAACCGCGCCTCCCCTTGTCCAGGACCTCCCTGGAGGATTGTCCATGTCCAAACCCCCTGCAGACGCTAAGCAGAGGAGCACCCTGGAACCACTGTGCAAATAGCTATGGGTCCAGCACCTCGGCCCTGGTCCCACAGGGTGGGCTCCTGTGAAACAAGGGAGAGGGGACTTGGGGCTCATTCGTGTCCCAGTCAGGTCAGGAGCTCGCTGCCCAGCTGCACTGGCCTGGTGCCCCCTCTGTATACAGCTCAGTGGGTCTTCTCGGTCCGTACAGCCCTACAGATACTCGTGGTGGTTTTGTTCATACCAAATTGCAACTCCACTCTGCTGTAACAGCAACAATTTAAAGAATCAAATGGCAAGAAGGCAGCTACACAGGTTTTTCCTTCTTGGCTTACAACACTCACAGACTATTTTTACACCTTGTCTCTCTCCCAGCCGAGGCTGATACGAGCTCTTTATCCCCCTTCTTTTAGTGCTGTCCCCGATTCCCAAGCAGAGCCTGGGCTCTGGGGTGAGCTCTGTCCTATCTGTCAATGTGCCATTTCTCTATCTGTGCAGAGTGCTCGCCTGGATTATGGCTCTCATCTTTCATTTATCTCTCTCTCCTCTGCTCTAGGGGAACAAACTGAAAATAAAACATACATGTTATTTCACTAGAAAAGAGAAAATAGCCAGAATAATTTTCTTTTTCTTTGGGTATTTCCTTTTAGTGAAATGCTGATTATTTTACCTAATCAGGATTTGCCACTTACCATCTCCTGATAGATTTTGCTCTTTGAATGTTCTTGAGGAAGTCACCGACTTCTCTAGTCTTTAAAAATATGTCTGTTTTTTTTCTTGATCCAGTTTTTGTGTTTAGACTTTCAGCTCAAGCGTAGCCTTTGTAAGTCCTTCACATGAGAGTGTGTGGATGGTAAACAAGAATGCCCATTGTGGCTGCCAGAAATACCTGGGTGAATTCTTCACGGGTGCTTTATGACACGGGAACGGCGTTGAATTGTGCCATGACCCTCACTGCTATTTGTGTGTAGGATTTATTTTTCTCAAAGAGGAGACCGGCACTCCATTAATCTCAGACAGCGTGTCAGTTGGCTCACTTACTGAAATGTGATTTTTCTTTTCCTTTAGTTGTTTTTTTTTGAACAGTTGGTAGCATTGTGTAGCCTGAAAATGGCCTGACAGCCCTGAGCCCAGAGCTGCCTCGCAACTGGAGGTGATGGGGGGTTAAATGTAGGTTACTGCTGTCAACAGGCTGGGTTTAAAACTTGAAAACATGTGACAAATGCCTGAAAGAGGAGGAAGGTGGTCTTTCTCCATGTTTTAAATCGTTCCAGTGTATCCCTAGTGACCTCTCAGCATTTCCCTTTGCAGGAGGTGCCCTGGGAAGCTCCACGTCCTCTGTTCCAGCAGAGGACAGCTTGGTTAGTCTCCTGGATGTCTCTCTAATTAGCCCTTTGTGTCGAAGAGTGTTGTTAAATTGCGTAGGGCTCTTTTGTGACTTGTGGTTGAAGTTCCACGTAATTAGGTTTTACATTCTACCAAAAAATGGTGGAATCGGGCCGCGTGAGAACTTTAAAGCCTTTCTGAGCCCCCAGGTGTCAAAGAGCAGTTCCC